TTTTTTTTTTTTTTTTTTTTTTTTTTTTTTTTTTTTTTAATTTATATTTTGAATAAAGCAAATAATTGAATATTCCACGTGGCATAATAAACAATTTCATCCATTTCTTCGGTGTATCAAAGAAACCCCAAGAACCTTCCTTTCGCCTATTTTAATAAACCAAATAACTCTCTTCTTTTACCAATTTATTCCAATTTCATATAATAATAATAAACATCATTCAAATAAATAAGTTATTTTCTAATTTTAAAATTTTTATGAATTTTCTAATTCAAATTTATTAAATATATAGACTCAACTTAAAAAGGGTTCACCATTCGTATATAGTTGAATGAATAAAAAAAATAAAAAAGAAATTTAAGGGAAATGGATTTATAAAAAAAGGTGACAGTTGAAATAAATTCAATTTACTATAGACCATAACCTCTCAACCAATACTTATTATTTATGAATAATATTTATGTGTGGTGAGAGCATGGTTTGACTTATAATTTCATTCATATTAGTCAGTGTTTTTACTTAATTAAACGAGTATATAGAAGGGAAAAAAATTAGTCTTTTTTAACTTCTAAATTTTTTATTTAATTTTCTATTAAATTGGACAATATGAGAAATTCAAACTTATCGGAGTATTATATATATATATATATATATATATTGAATTGTACGCGTGAGCAATAATTTTGGTCTTTGAAAATAATACAGTATTTAAAACCGTGGACAGAAGAGGACACGTGTTGGAACCACGTGGCGTACAGTAGACACAATGAAGAAGTGAATAGAAGAAAAGGAGGAGAAAAGGAGGGGTTCGTACGTTGGTTCAGGGAAATTTAATAATACAAGTAGGATGGAGAGAGACGTGGCGGAGAATGGTTGGTCCACATAGGCAACAGCAATAAATAGGAGATTATAATTCGGAGGGGTTGGACCAACCAGCTCCCAACTACCAACCCGATCCGAAAGGCCATCCCCGCAGCCCAGTCGGCTCCAGCGTTAATAAACGCAATTTTGCGCATTAAATGTTTATTATTCTAATTATTTCACCAACCCCTACCCGATAATCTAATTAATTTTGACTAACCAATTCAGAATTGGGTTACCCTTTCTCTTTCTCCGTTTCAATTGTGTTAAATAACTCAACTCACTCATTCAAAAACCAGGTTATAACTAACTCAATTCAACATTATCCTACTTTTAAGATTTAAGATTATGACAAAAATGAAGAATATTTGTTGTTTGTAATGGACATTAGCTATCCCGTAAAAGTTTAATATTTGAGTTTTTTTTTATATAACTTGGTAGATAAATATGATTTTAAAAAAATAATAATAATTAAGAAAAAACAATCTAACCCAAAAATAAAAAGGTTGAATTGTAAACTCTATTCGGATGGTTCTAACTCAGCCCATCTAAACTTTTGGCGCTTACAATATTCACTTAGTTTTATTCATTTATTGAATTTATAGGAAAGTATTGAGCTTTTAATTTTCTAGTATTGAGCTTTAATTTTCTACCATTTTCATATGAGCTATGGGAGGGAGGCTTAGCAATCCTCCAAGTGATTTTGTTTTAAATGAAAAAGTAGATGCAAAAAATGAAAGATTGAAATTTGTGTTAAATTTTTAACAGTGAAATTTGTTTATTTTGAAAATAAGAAGTGTGTTGAAGAATCCTTCTTTCTCTAGCTCTCATATTGAGTCAAAATCATGGAGGTTCACTGCTTTTCTGGGGAACTCTGAAACAAATAATAGGATAGGACTTCAATAAAAAGCTGGGATATTGATCAATTCCGAAGAATCTCCTTAATAAAAAGCTGGGATATTGATCAATTCCGAAGAATCTCCTTGGTTACTATAAGAGGAGACTTAAATGATATCCTTCTAAATTGTGTAAAGGACTTGCACATTTCTTGGTAATGAAGCCATTTTGAGCTTGTTAAAGTGGTTGCCAAGAATCAATTGAATTTGTCATGTATCCCTTTTGGATGAAGCTGAAACCCCGCACCCCCCAAAAGCACTATTACATACCCTTTAAGTTTGAAGAACATTGGACATTTCATGATTCTTGCAAAAGTATTATTAAGAACAATGGTTTTTGGGATTTTGATCCTTTTAAACCCTATTAAATTAGAGCATATTACATTTTTTTTTTTAACATTTATTTTCGTAAATGAATGATTATTTTTACATTTATCGTCGGCTCTGATGCAGCCATGTCACAAAGACTCCTACATTGTCATATCAAGATCACGAAGGAAACCAACTCAAAACTAAAACATTTGCTGATAGTATGCAACTTACAAGTAACTTTCTTCGTTGGTTGGCCATTATTGCTATCTTTTCCCATCTGATGAAAGTAGATATACCAGCTGCCTGCTATCAGCCGCGACAGCCTCCACACCTGTCTCTTTACTATCAGTTGCAATACAAAAAACACTTGCACCTATAATGGAGAAACTGAAGAAATTAAACACAAATGGTACTGGAAATGAATACTTCTTTTAAAAGATCCGATGGTCTCCAACGGCACTACATGATGTTCAGATCTCATATTTCCATTTTCTAACTCTTATAGCTTGTCTCTAATTTGTAAACATGTTTACACTTTCGACTCTTTGTTTCTTCTCTTGATGAGTTGGGAGAGTTATGGAAATCTTTTCAATATAGTGAAGACATGAATTCTTTTAGCTTTGTGCAAAAGAAATGGTGCACGTTATGGGAGGCATTAGTCACCGATGCTAGGATGCATAGTGAGGCAATTCTGTATTTTTCATAGTTTTGAGTGAGCAATATTCTAGTAATAGTTTGTTGAGACTTTCCTTGTTCAAGCTATTTCTTAATTTGTAGCTCAGGTTGGTAAGCTAAATTAGTTATTATTATCTTGCTATTAGTTGATGAGTTTACTATTTAAGTCCAGGAGCTTAAGCTAATAAATGTGTGCTAAAATTTATAACCACATTTTGACATTTGGAGGCTTTGATCCCTCGAAGACCATATTTTTCTCTGTTTAAACTTCGAGCAAGTTGGAGTCTAACACATACCTGTAAAACGAAGAAGAGTGCCCAATTTATTTCCTGTAGACAATGCCCACCCGAGTCCGAATGATACCTCGACCAGCTGATGCCCCAGTGGCAGTCTCTATAAAGTGAAAGAAAACACTAAATCATCTAACAGTGCTGGTAACAAAATAAATGAATATGACGAATTCTCAGATGGCTGGAATAATCAAGTTGCATTCTCTAGACAGACTACTAATTAATTTCCAAATATCTACTTGTAGTTTTACTGGAAGTTGAGCAGTTAGAAACAGAACAAATTAATTATCTTCTGTTATCATAAAACTTAAACTATTATTGTTTGCATATAATAATGGAATACTTTGCAGTCACTAAATCATATTATTTTATCCTGTGATACTACGTTGATGAGACAAGTACATCATATCAGAATGAAATTAACGTCTAAGACTCAGAAACTCAAAAAGTGTGCCAAATTTGAAATGATGATAGCACACTACCTTAAATCCAGCTACGCACCAAATGTGACCGTACTGTCAGCAAGTAGCATTAGTTTCCACAATTCTGCATGATTTATCTGACAATCCATTGGTAAATAGTCATGTGAATCTCGAGAATCTGATATGGTTGAGGCAAACAGCCATATGGCAGAGTCCTTTAGCTGAAGTAAGGAATGTTCCTCGGTGTTCTTTGAGCTTGTACTCATTGCACACAACAGCTCTTTAACATAGTCCCTTGCATTACAGTTGCTGGCAAAGTTTTCCGTTCGCTTCCAACTAAACAAACAAAGTGGAAAGATTGACAAACTGAGACACTCGGAGTAAAGTACCTAGAGCACGTTTTGGGATATCCCTAAAACAAATAACAGTACCTTTTAGATGCTAGCAAACATTCAAAGAAAATTACCTTCCAAATCTTCCTTCAAAACAGGTGTGTCTAGAAGTCCTGAATTATGCTTCTTGTTGGCTCTCAGTGATGCTTCATCTAGGTCTAATGAAGGACTGCAATGACATACTTTATCTGATTGATATAAGAAGAATGTGGGGATTCAGTGGAAGACGTTTCCGCACCATAATGTTTTCCAAGGCAACTAGTATTGTAAGCTTCATAGGATGGGCGATTGTATTCCTTAGTCAAATGAGACACATTTTGAGCTTATCCTACTGTACACAATGCTTGGAACTTGAGAAGATGGCACAGTGTCCATTCCCGCAGCCTCTTTTCTTACAATGACTTCCTTATTTAATGCCTCTGGATATGCGGAGGTCCTTCTTACACTTGAATCATTTGCATTCTGAGCTGAAAAAAGGAGATGGCATAACATCAATTACTAGATTATCATAATTAATAAATTGGTTGTAAAGGAGTTTTGCGCCTCAAAACCAAATTTAGTAAACATGGAAGAATGTCACAGAAATGCTCTTTTTAAGTACAAATGAAGTTTAAAGTAGTAATGGTGTTATCATTAGTGAATGATTGGTAATAACTAAATTGCTAGGGTAAGAAAGAATGTATCCATGATAACAAATTCTTACCATGCGGGAGTTGAGAAAAGGATCCACTCGAACAAGGTTGCTCTCGCATTGCTTTCTATATAATCCGTAGGAGTTTACTTGTCCACTTTCAAGGAATTTATTTGAAGATTTAATGGGCATTTATCCATCCTTTTATTATTACGCATAGTTTCATCAGAAAGTACTCTACCAGAAGAGGTACAGCCGAGAGGACATTCTGAAACGTACAAATGACCCTCCTGACTTGTTCCATGCACATTCCACCAATTTCACTGTCACGGGACTTTTTGCTTCCAGTGGCTCATGATAATTTACCAACAACTCATCATTTATGCAACCACAGAATTGGAATCCACTAGAATCAATAGGTTTCATATCTTCCTTACCTTGACCATTGTCTGCAACAGAAGAGAAGTTGCCATTAATTTATGCATGGTCATAATGTTGCTTACCCTCTAAATTGTCAAGACCGTGTTTGGAAAGCTCTAGACTCGAGACAGCAGATTCTTAATTCACATGTAGTATGTGCATGTATTCCTGCTTTGCTCTATCTTCTTTCTTCGATACGTCTTTTGTATTTCCATCTGCAGATGAATAAGAATATATTTTAATAAAACAAAAAAGTTTGTTTATGCTTACATATCAAATGTGTCAACGTATTTGTCAAACGTTAATAACAGTAGGTATAAGTTAATTATAAATTACCACAAGGAAACCCTTACCAAATTAGAAATGGCTGTCTTTTTCCGGTTAGAATTCTCCTTAAGCAGAGGAATTGCTTGTGGAATCAAAAAATCATCATTGACTTCACAATGTATTGTCCTAATGAATCAAAATCATTTCTTTTGGAGCCTGAGTCCGTGTTCAATGAGCAAATTTTCTTCTGGAGGGAGTTCACCGACTCTTCAGATATGACGATATCAGACTGATTGAGACTTTTCTTTTCCATGCTACCAGGAGCAGACTCACAATAGCTGCATAATAAAAAAAATCGAAATAAAAAGAAAATTATATAAATGGACCAATGTTTTGTCCAAAAAAAGAAGTGATAGATCTGAAGTATGTGATGCATGATGATTATTGTCTTCAGTATCTGGACAATAATTTTGGATAGAAGCATCTGCACTGTTTCCATTTCTCGACTAATAGCTTCCAATTTGTCCATTGACAACCTATCATGCTGTAAGAAGTTAAGAGCGCTTCCAACAATCAAATTTGTAAATCTGACAAACAGCGTGTAAAACACATTTCTCAAAATGATCCATGTTTCCGTCATCTATATTTCTATTGAAAATGTGAATAGAGCTTAAATGTAAACTTCTCTTTATAACAAAAGCAAACAAGGAAGTTTATATGGCTTCCATTACAAGCTAATTGTGAATTCTCATAAGTTCTTCATCAATGGACACATTATGAGCTACTTGAGGGGATTCAGATACAGCATCCTCTTGTACGCACATAGCTTTCTCTGAGGCATGAACAAAGTAGTTAAAAACACCTTGGAGATGCAAAGTTAGCTGGCAATTTATGAATTTTTTATCCTTTCCTGTAGACGTTGCTACTGCTGCCAAAGAAGTTGCTGAGCTATTTTTTTTTCTTTTCGCGTGTGTAAAGGAACTATCTTCACATACATGCCACAAAAACCTTGATTCACTTCATTGACAGACGCTGAGCTTGACTGTTTTTCGGTCATGGATCTAATTCTTGAACCACAATTTCCTACTTTTTTTAGATTAGCATAATTGAGTAACTTTTCCGTTTCAATTCAATGATTCCTCCTTTTCTTTCTTGCAAACTCCGATCTTTCATGGCAAGAAACTAATTCAGACTGATTGTGACTTTCACTGGTGAAATTGAAGGTAGAAAGTTAACCATGGCCCTTAAGATTGCATGAATTCAATTCCTCTTGTGCGGATACACAAGAGTGCTATTTCACTGGTGAAATTGAAGTTGCTCAGTGGTGACATATTCAAACTGAGAAGATAAAGTACTAAGTTTTACCCTCCAATTCACTTGACACTTGAGCATTTACTCAAAGCTAAGTTGGTATCAAGAATGAAAAAGGTAGCATGGTTGAAGGATATTTTGGAAAGGAGACACAGAGTAAGTTACTGATCATAGAAAATGCAAGGAATTCAAAAAGGTTACAGTATGATAGGACTCGTTTATTACTGGTTGACTCCACTGGTTAAAGGGATCCGTATAAAAATGCAAATCTAAGAAGCAAACAGACTGTAGGTTAAAAGAGAACAGTTATACCTCCACTCCATCAACCTTGCACGAAGGCGTTTCCCGTGCCAAATTGTAGTGAGGAGGCAGCCTCTCCTCTGAAAATGAACGTCCATCCATAGACAAAATCTGCAAGGGACGATGTAACCTTTCAATAAATATTTTCCAATGGCACGAGAAACAGAGATATTCAATACTTAATACGAAGGTGATACGCACCATAAATAAAAGCCCCTTTGGAGACCAGCCAGATTGCCCATCTGGATAGGGAAATCGATCTTTACCCTACACAATAATGCAATGATTACGGTAGGTCCTCGGTTGAGATTTCTTATCTAGAATCCTGTAAATGCATCTTTTCTTAACTTCTTGAAGCTCTAATGGCAGAATCTCTTATAAAGAAAGATAATGGGAATCATCAATATCAGATTTATCTCTACTACAATGCAGAGTTGAAATAGACACACCTAGATAACAAATAAGTCACTCCATAATTATCCATCAGTAAATAATTCATAAAACACATTTAAAGTACCACATGAAACTCCAAAATCTATATTCCTAGCTCTCTTTGACATTTACTGTTCTTGATCTAAAACACCTCTTCAGGTATATTAAATTTGCAACTACAACAACCACTCGAAAAATAACAAAAATGGTAATTAGTTCAGCAAGCAGTTCGAATTGACAAATTCGTCAATTGGTCCAAAGTTTCCCTGGATATTGGAACTCTGGATATTTGACTCTCCTGAAGATTGCGGTGACACTAAATGGAATTTACTGTGCATTAATACCAAATCCAATTTACAACAAATTCGCACTACTCAAAATTAATTTATCAGATAAGCTTCATGAAGTAGACAATCTGATTTTACTTGCAAATTGGGATCAACTAATTTTTACCAATTCTAGATCGCAAAACCTACCTAGATAAGCTTGCAATCGCTTCAAAACAACCAATTATCAGAAAAGAAATCTTTTCAAAGCAACCAAGTCGAAAAATACAGAACAGAATTCCAAAGGGAACAAACTATGTTACAAGCATCACATGCTTTCCACTTGAGGTGATAGGCAAACTATCAAATAAACATAGAAAAATATAATCGGAAATAGCAACATCACCACCGCGATAAATGGAATCAATTACAGCAGACATATAGATCAGAATATGCAGGGCAAAATAAATCGAATACAAACCCTAGAGCTGCTCCAGTACTTCTTGTCCCAATGTGTCCACTGTACAATGATCCGATGGAAATTATCTCAAGACTGGCATCTGCCTGTTCTTTGAGTTGAGCTCTTGTCATTGGAAGGAAAAATAAAACAGGTCCACAGAGGATATTAAGAATGGATGGTGGAACTCGTTGAAGAACTAGGCGTGGAAGTTGATTTTCTGAAAATCCTCCGTAGACAGAAAGACGAGTGAGCGAGGGAAGGAAAACTGCAGGACGTCTTGTGGCGGATTCATATTTCTCCCTCCATCGTAGTAAGTACACTGGTTAAAAAGGTTAGTCAAAAACATAGGAACGCCGTTGCCGGGGATCGAACCCGGGTCACCCGCGTGACAGGCGGGAATACTTACCACTATACTACAACGACTTTTTGTTAGCATGAAGCACTTTATTTTATAAATAAAATAAAAAATTGATATCAATCATAAATGCAAACACCGTAGTTAATAATATTAAACGCTAACTTATTTATCCACTTAGAGAGTTATGCACATATTTGTTTGATACAAACATTTTTATGCATCTACTATCCCCAAATCTATCAAAATTAACTATCACACAATTTCATCGTCATCTTGAAATCCGTCTCGTGTGGTAAACATTATCATACAAAGAAACTTATATATATTTAATCTTTTATACACATTCTTCAACAAAAATGGAAATATTGGGTTTGCGTGGGAGTTTAATGGAGCTAATGAGAGGTTGAAGATGGTAAAAGCTGAGTTGTTAGAAGAAGGTAGTTTTGATGAGGCCATTCAAGGAGTGGATGGGCTTTTCCACACTGCTTCACCTGTTCTTGATAACAACATCAAGGGAGGTAAGGTCCTGATTCTTTGCTTAATTAAAGGGAGTGTTTTAGGTTAAAGGTTGTGTATTCATGGGCTAGTACAATTATTGTTTGGCAAAAACATATATGTGACAGGTGCATGTATCTTGTGTCCATGCTTCTTAGTTCAAACTAACAACACTGATTGATCCATTTATGAATAATGTAATACAATCGCATCGGGTTTCAAGATGAACAAATACAAATGTTGTGGATTTCTTTGAATCGGAAAACGCCTTAAAATATTTCAACATCTTTGACGTTTCAGGCCTTCAATACTCACCAAAACGAATGAAGTTCGGCCAACAAAAAGGCCAAAACATTAAATGAATTATTAAGTTTTATCTTTTTAAAATTAAAAGAAAGGGCAACAGTGCGAGAAAGTGGTACCATGGATGGAACTACGAAATTGGTTTACAGCTCATACCACAAGTACTCGTTCTCACTTTCCTCCGTACCTTAAAATAAATTTAAAACATACTCATAATTTCACACAAATTAACGTTGAATGATTCAAGTTGTTAATGAAAAATTTCAAGATCAGGAACATTGGTATCGATATTGAATTCCACAATTTCACACAGAGTTGACAAAATCTTTTAATCGTAACCAAAATGGCAGACTGAGAGAAGAACACTCTCTCATTTTCACTCTCAGAAAACCAAATTAAAAAAGGGAATTTCTCAATGGACAAAACAATTGAGAGAGGAAAACTCCTAAGCTGCAAAAATTTAAGGGCAGGTAATGTTGATGGACTCATCAAGCCAACAAGAAATGTCATCGTTCCCAAAATCCCCGAAATCCGCATTTGGAAAGCCGCTGGGTTCATCATCGCCGAACCCAAAAATCTGGGTGTTCTCCAAACTTACAAAATCCTCCAACAACATTCCGATTCCATCCGCTAGAATCGAATCAAAATTGATCCCCATGTTTATTTCGTCTATAAACGGATGGCTCTGATCGGTTTCTTGAAGGTAGTTCATATTCGTGCCTGTTTCTTCTTTGATTGAATCTCCCACCACTTTCAAATCTTGGCTTTGGGAAGTTGAATCGTCCCATTCGAAAACCGACGACGGTGAGGTGTGGGATACGGTGGTCTCCGCAGTGCTCTCTGAAAGAACAGCGGCGGATGAGGATGCGGTCCTGTTGCCTTCTTCAACAGCCATTTCTGCCGCCATAGCTTCAAACTGCAGCCTCCTCGACTCATAAGCTTGAGAAGCTTCTTCTGCAGTATCGTAAGTACCAAGCCAAATACGGCTTCTCTTAAAGGGATCTCGAATCTCAGCCGCCCATTTTCCCCAAGCTCTCTGTCTCACACCTCTGTATTTGGAAGACGATTGTCTTCGGGAGGAGGAAGGGTTTTTGATCTGAACCTTGGATTGCTTAAGCTTAGGGTTTTTGTTTTCGTTGTTGCTGTTCTGAGAACTCTCGGATTCGAGAGCCTTTTTCAGCGGAGGCAGGTGGATTTCGTGTACGGTTCGATTAAACTTTCTTCCATATCTTTCTCCTTCATCTTCGCTTGAAGATGAGTCGGTTGCATCAGGATCGTAACAGATTATGCGAACTTTTCTCCTCATTTTGGAATCCGCAGAGAAATTTTTTGGATGCAGCTTGGATTTTCTGTTGCTGCTAACAAGTTTCTGATTAGAATGCGGCATCCGGGAGTACGACAATGAGATCAAATCGATGGGAAGAAGAAGAAGAAAAGTGAATAATCAAAGGGAAACAGCGGAAGATCTCTGAGAATTCCAATAACTAAAGTGCAAGGTGGAGAAACGAAGTAAAAAATGTTTTATACGATAAGCCCAAGAGAACTTTACTCCAGAACAACTCCTGCAATGGAAAAAAACCAAATCGGAATTAGGCCGAAAACCCTCTAGGAAACACATATACAAGCGAATGAAACTAGAAAATCTGTCTTGCCTTTTTAATCTCAAACGCATTGAAAATGATCGTTGCAGCAGAATCAACCTCTGCCGGAACCAGCAGAGAAGGAAGGAAGCAGAAGAAGAAGAAGAAGAAGAAAACCAGAGCTGCAACAGAGCCCCAATCACTGCCAATATGAACAAAGCCGACATAAATCTACTGCTCAACCACCGTCGTCAAGTTCTTTCCCAGTTCAAAAAAAGCACAAGCCCAGATGAAGAGAAGTCTGAGCCCTGCTGTTGAAAGGTTGAAAGAGAAAAAACAGTAAACAAACCAGCAGATTAAAGCGAGAGAGATCGCCAATCCATGGCCAACATTGTTCGATTTTAGAGAAACAGAAGAGAGACAGATAAAGAGAGATCTCGATTGTGCTGCAAATCTCTATGGAAATATCAGAAATCGAAAAATATGATTAAAAAAGATGAAGAGTGAGCAGTGAGCAGTGACAACAATGGAAGAACGAATCGACCCACCCCCCATTCCGTGAAAAACCCGACATTAAAATACACATAAAAAGAAAGAAAATCATAAAGAAATTTCTTACTCTGATCCACTTCTGTCTCTTCGTGTTGTTCCAAGAATTTCCACAGTCGGTGGCGCCTGCAATTCTTCCGAGGAGCGTTCAAATTTTACAGAAGTGAATGATGAGGTTGGAATTTGCTTAAAAAGAGATGTTTTGATGATGGGTATGGATGGATGGCATACCCATCGGATTCATGCACATCCATCCATCCATTCCATCCATCCATCCATCCATCCAATTGAAACTTTCTTGGTCTATCTCATTAGTCAAATTATCTATTCAAATATATAATTGGTGGGAGTGTTTTAAATCCAACGGATTTAGCTTCAAACATTATTAGATTTTAGTTTAATTGGGAAGTAAATGCTTAAATAGTCTAAATTAAAAAAAGAATTCGACTCTGGAAAATGGAATTATGGTAAACATAACATGGACAAAAATTGATTTGATACTAGCACATGACCAATATTTAGTTAATGGGAGACTCAGGCAGTGAAGCACGTGATGATCTCCCTCATAAAGACGTAAATTGTGCACGCCCAAATCATCCACCTAACATGACAACCCCACAAAATAAGAAGATTAAGATATTCATGCATGCCTCCTTCCACCTTTAATTATGCCAACACAAGCCGCCTCCTTTTAAATATTTATTTATTATCGCTATCATCAGAATCAATGAACCTATTAAATAAAACAATAGGTTTTGTAATGATAGATTTTAATCATCAACTCTGGTACCAACAATAAAAAAGAATATATAACTTAAATATTATTGATATCGTATTCAACGCTCACAACTAGATTCTCTAAATGAATTACATAAAACACTAATTAATTACAACTTAGTATTTATACATATACTTTAATCAAGCTGAAAATGAGTTCTTACCGTTAGTTTATTATTAACTTTTTTTTTCTTTTTTTGAAATGTTAATACAGTATATAGCATTTATATTATTTTTTTAACATAAAAAGTAATTTAAAATTACCATTGAAGACTAACATTAAAACTTATTAAAGATTTAGAAGCTCAAGTTAAGTACCAAATGAAAAAATTTAAATATTTATAAATTTGTATTACATTTAAAAAGTAGAGAGGGGAACAGGGGTACGGAATGAAAAGTGAGAAATAGGGAAAAAATGAACAAAAAAAAAAAAGAAAGGACCACACGATGCACGTGATAATGTCTGTATTGATATTGGCAAAATAAAGATCCGACCCATGCCCGACCCGAACCTAAAATGCCCCAACTAACATCCACCGAAAAGTCACGACACGAATAATTAATGCAATCCATTGTTCTCTCTCATCATGTGAGATTCCAGTAATGACCATGTTTCACATCCAGCAACCATCATCATCCCCTCATCATGTGCATGCCATGCATGAATTATCAATTCCGCGTAACGACAAAGTGGGCCCACCGCAAACAGGCTTACGTTTTTCCCGCCCATAGCGCCGACGTGGAATCTTCCGCCTTATTCTTCCCACCAAAATCTCCGCCTATACCGTTTGTCTTCCACAGAATTCTCGACACGTGTCGCACCATGAACCCCACTCCTCCAGCTGTTACGCCTAGCATTACGATGACGCGGCCAATTCGGCTGCTATTTTAGTCTCAGTCCATAACTGCTATTTTCTTCAATTTTCTCGCCTTACATTACACCTAAACTTAAGTCGAAATTAACCCTTCAAATTATTTTATTACAAACACGTCGTTTATTATTTGCGTTTTTAAGTGACACGTATGCAACTACATGCCCTGTACTAGAATATTAGCCCAGGCCCACATTAGAATTCTATGAAAGATTTCAAAGGCCCAACAACAAGCCCAACGTTACAGATCAATGCGAAGGAAGACTACAATAGATGAGGACATACAAAACAAAACACAAGATTCATGGTTCGATCAAGCTGATTCCATGGTGGACTTCAAATTTAAGAACCCATTTGCCAGGACAGCTTGAAGCTTCTC